GGAATAGTTTTTACCAAAAGCATCCATATGAAAGGCTTCCAGACAAACGAAATTAATAAAAGAGGCGATTACTTTATATCTACTTATAATACGTCATCAAAACTGTCACACAGTAGCAGTGGTTCGTGTAACAAAGTTCAAAAAAAAAAGAAATACTAGTGAACAACATTTGAAAAGATACTATCTCAATCGAAGTTTACTCTTTATAGATGAGTCACTACTATCTTCATAAAAAGTTTGTTTTAAAGCTTTTTTTTCCTGCAACAGGTATCGGTTTCTACGCGGCCTAGACCGGAACCTTCACAAGGAGAGTTACCCACAACTCCATTACCCGGAAGTCTATCTCCTCGATGGCGGCTACAAGGCTTTCTTTGAGACATATAAGGTGAGCAGTGTAAAAAAACAAAAAAAAAACAAACCCGTTTTGATTGTATGAAAATGTTTGTCTGAATATGATTGAAGTTTTCTTTCCTAGACCTAACCGAGTATGTATAGCAAATGAAATTTTGTTTTAAAAATGAAATACTCTGACATCACAAAATTAAACGCTTCAATCTAGATAAGTAAGAATTATTCTTGGAAGTTCCTCTGAGATTATTGCACAAAGGAAAACAAGGGTACTGACATTTTGCTGTTTATCATAAAATACATTGAACACATAACCATAACAGGGAGAAGAAACTCTTTGCAGTCCCTGGTTGTGGTTAAAATATTGGTACCTCATGCGCTATGTAAGCCTAGGTTTCACCTTTTCAAATCTATCCATTTACTTTAATTTTCATTAATTTCTACTCCCCGTTCTTGTCTATTACAATTTGTAGTTACAATATTGTAAAGAGAATTTATAATTGGTGCTATATTTAATAGCGGAATAATAAGTTTGATCAAAATATATTTTACTTGGGCGACATTTGTTTTTAAACTGAATAGTGAGGGTATACAAATATTCATATGATGTAAAGAATCTCTGGTTGCCATGGCAATCTGGAAAAGAATTTTCACGATCTTTAACGCATCTCCGACTTTCTTCTCAGCTACATCTGCTTATGTATTGTTCTTTGTTTCATTTGAAGGAACTGTGTGAACCTGATAATTACACGCCCATGCTCCACAAAGACCATTTAGAAGATCTGCGACACTGTCGTGTTAAGTACAAGTCCTGGGCGGCAGGAGACAAACGGCATCAATACCGACAGACCTTACGATTCTGAATAATTTTAAAGAACTATAGACAAACTTGGATATACATAGTGCAAAAATGTGATGACGGAGTCGGAGAGACAATGGACCGAATTGATGTTAATAGATCGCTGATTGTTTTTGATTGTTGTAAATTTCAATATTTGTGATGTTTGAACGTGTTACAGAAGAATATATCGAAGATATAAATACATTTGAATTAGACTTGCATTGAACATTGATTCCACTGATCTGTTTCTTAACTTTACCTCACCCTAAACACCTACGCATCTGCAACTCCATATATGATACGTCGTAGTCTTCTCGACGGAATCGGAACCTGCTGATGGAAGATCACCAAAGACTGACTATACAGCGGAGGAAAAGGACAGTATTGCAGATCCGTATACTGCGATTTAAAATGTACATATAGTTACAAAACACTGTCCAATTGGGGAATAAATTAGACATGAAATAATTAAAAGAATAATCGTGTCTAATTAAAGGAGAGAATAATAATGGAAAAATTCAAACAATACATAATATATTTAAATTTGGAATATGTTGTTTGCAATGACATTTTCTTTGTGACTAGGTATATTTGGACAAAAGAAACAACCACAAACAATTTAGTAACGTAGAGAAAAAGAACTATGGTTAAAAGATTCTTTTGAAATATTGGTACCCCGTCTCTTGGTGACGCAGTTTTTAACAGTGTATCTGTTAATTCAATCAGATTTACTGATATTAATATAGTAACAACAAAATTAATAGCCACTACTAAAACGAAAATAAAAAATACTTTTCTATGACCATGATTGTAGAAGCTGCTCTAGTTTCATTGTCCATGACTGTTGTTGTGGTTTGTGCACATCTCTAACAAAAACATTCTAGCATCAAGCCTACAAATGTTAGAACAAACAATAAAGAATGTACGGCAAATAGTGTGCGTTTTTAATTTTGGATTTTTAACGTAGCTTTAAAATTATTTTTCGTAATATCACTACTATGTCTGCAGTGTGGTAGTTTTTATTATTTCGCACTGGAGAATCATGCCGCATACATGTAACATTATGTCCAACCTAGTAACATTCTACTGACAACATACAGACCTCTCTTTATGTTGGCAATTGTCAGTAACATTCTATGAAACAATATCACCACTAAATAAATTTGTTTGGAGCATATTGCGTACAATATTGTTTGCATTGAATTAGTTTCTAATTATTTAGCACACATACATACATACATACATACATACATACATACATACATACATACATACATACATACATACATACATACATACATACATACATACATACATACATACATACATACATACATACATACATACATACATACATACATACATACATACATACATACATACATACATACATATATATATATATATATATATATATATATATATATATATATACATATATATATATATATATATAAATAGACATACACATATATATATATATAGATAGATTTATACATATATATATATATACACACATACATATATATATACATAGATATATATATATATAGATATATATATATATATATAGAGATATATATATATATATATATATATATATATATATATACATATATATACATATACATATATATACATATATAGATATATATATATATATATATATATATAGATAAATAAATAAATATATATATATATATATAAATACATATATAAATATATATATACATACATAAATAAATACATACATATATACATATATATATACATATATATATACATATATATATATATATATATATATATACATATATACATATATATATACATATATATATACATACATATATATATATATATATAAATATATATAGATATATATATATATATATATATATATATATATATATATATATATATATATATATATATATATATATATATATATATATATATATATATATATATATATATATATATATATATATATATATATATATATATATACCAGACAGAACAGACTGCTATTCCTGGAATCTGTAATAGAATATTGAATAATAGTGAAGGGAATTTAATAGTTTAATACAAACAATACTATCATACAGGTTAGAGAAATTAAATTAAATTAAATTAAAGCTCATATAACATCGACTCAATGCCATCATTTATTTGGTGATGCTTGCTTAGTAGTATCAGTGTATCGGCTGGTGCGCGCAGGCAAGGCGATGAGTGCCACTTGCTCGCAGACCTGAGTTCAAAACTCCGTAGAGTACGAATTTAATTTTTAATGTTGTGTCTGGTATATATTTATAATTCTTTGTAATACAAATTTCTATATTCCTTGATTTCTTCATATATAACTCAGTACCGTTAACTCGCGGACCTGGGTTTGAAACTCCATAGAGTACGAATTTAATTTCTCTAATCTGTTTGAAAAATTCTTGCAATTCTTTGTGCTGTAAGGTTTTATTGATGCAACAAAGTTAATATTGTTACAAAATTTCTGAGGGTGTTTCGAATGGCCGAGTGGTCTAAAGCGCTCTCCGTTACGGGTCACTGCCATCTCACCTCCGTCTATGTAGGTTTGAGTCTAAGATTCGGCGAATGCGGATATGTGAGAATGCTTGCCAGAAGCTTCTCGTGGGTCGGTGGTTCTTTCCACGGATTTCCCGATTTCTTCCTCCAACACTAATTCTGGCCGCCATGTATAGCCTATCGTGTGCTGAAAAATGGCGAAAAAGCCCGAAAACAACATCAACAACAAAATACTTTATGAATTATGTTATGTATATTTGTATTACATTATTTGTTTTTTTAATTAATCTTTTAAAAAAGTTTCTTTATATATGTTATGGATAATTGCGTATTGGACTTTACCTTGTCCAAAATCAAGTTCATTTTTCTATCTGACCAGAATCACTTTTTTAAATTCTGTAAACATCTGGTACATACCCAATATTTTGTCCAAGAGTATGTGTGCAATAGTATGATCATTGTTAATAGAAGTGAAGATATTATTATGAGTCTGTTTCTAGGTGATTGATTTCTCTTATAAATATAACTGTCCCACCAGGCCACATCGTATGTGTGTGTGTGTGTGTGTGTGTGTGTGTGTGTGTGTGTTTTGTGTGTGAAATCGCATATATTCACATTTACTAATATATTCAAATTATTATCTGGACGAAATTTTATTTCTCTTCTGGTCTGTCTAATACACTTTCAAATAATCCATGGGTCCCGACCGTTTACACAATCCAAGAAAGTTTAGTATTAAAATGGAAAAGAAGTAATTGCAGAAGTGTATACTGGTTTGAAATACATCTAATATGTTCCAAAACATATGTAAACCAGTCTATTTTGTCCGTCAGTTTGCATTTTAATTAAGTATAAATCTGTATGGAAGGGAAAATTTAAATAATCTTGTAATTAATATCTAGAGGGCATGAGCAGAAAATTTAGGATTGAAAACAGCTGTCATTTGTTTTATGATAATGTAACAATACAGAGGAAAGACGAAAAGCAGCTTGATGGGAAAATTTGCAGCCAGCTTTAAGTAATAAATTCTGGATGCCAAAGCAGTACGATAAAAAAGCATTCTATCGCAGCTTGCAATAATTTTTTCGGCGTCTGTTGGATCAGTTTAGTTTTAGAAGCCATTGCCATTTTTCTCAATGCAACTAATAAATCTCTGCGTGAAAATTTGAACACTTTTTACAGTTTGAGAGACGTTTAAAAGAAAACATCGAAATAAATATGTCTTTTGCATATATGCAATTTTCTCTTCTAAGTTACATGATATATCGCGACCTCACCGGTAGCCTATTGGTTAGAGCGTCCGCCTCGGATGCGGGATGACGTGGGTTCGAATCACCGGCCTAATCATACCAAAGACTTATAAAAATGGTACCAACAGATGCCTCACTTGGCGCTCAGCATTACTATGTTATTGTTAGGACTGGTCGGTCTGGTGCCAGGATAATGTGTCTGAGTGGGACATCATGCGACATATCTGTGGTCTAGACATCACTATAAAATGTCACACTGCAGACATCGTAGCGATATGACTGAAACATTCTTTAAACTACGTTAAAAAATAATAAACACATCACATCTCACACATGATGTATCGCGAAGATATTTAGGTCAGAGAGTGATGTTTCACAAGTGTATAAGACTAAAGCAAGATATGGTTTAATCACCGGAAACGAACCCTTCTTCGTAAAACAGAATGCAATTAAAATGACAAAATTAAGGAATACGTATGAGGTATTTAAACTATTGTGACTAATAGTTTATTATGTTTTTTAGTAGATGTTTAATAACGACAATGATGACGGAAACAATCGAAATGAGCATGGTGTTTTATCTTAAAATGAAATTATTTTGTGCCGATCTAAAACCAAAGTTGAAAGCCTGATTCAAATAAAAAAATGTAATTTCCTTTTGATAAACTGAGAATGATCAACGATGATAGTTTGATTAACACGGACCAATTAAATATGACAGAAAGAATCGTCAAACTTAAAAATGTGACAATGAACACCTATAAGTTCAATGTATTATTTCACTAATTAATTTCCTTATATATTTCCTTTATTTATGCACATTTTGAATTAATCCAAATTTATTAGGATCAAGTTATTATAAAACAAGGATATCATATATTTGTTAACAAAAATATACACACAAAAGTCAGGATGTTTCATGTGAATGTATGGAAAAAAAAGTTGAATTTCGACGAGGTAACCGAACATGTTCAAGAATGTCACCAAGTAATTTCAAAAATTTTTCACGCTGTCAGCTGAAGAACACAAACCGTTCACATCAAAATAATTGCAATTGCTTGACATGTACAATTTTGTCGTCTATTTCTGTCTTAATCAACCAAAGAACGGCATTCTCTTAAGCACAAATTCAAAGTTCGATTAATTAATACAATAGTAGCTAGTTAGTATAGAGTTCTGTCCCTTATTATTGGGAACCTTTACGCTGGACGCTCACTGGTTTACTCCTTTCTGTAAAAGAGTTCTAAATTAATACCATAGCATGCGGAAATATGGAGATTAACAAGAAAAGTATATAAGCACAGTTAATTGTTTGGCTCCTTACAATATCTGGATGTAATTTTATATATAGGTATGCTTGCAGATTGTTCGGCATGCAGATATGCAATTTGGCTATTGTATTAGATCAGATGTGTGGTTTATGCTTTTTTAAAGATGAAACCTGACGTTGAAATGATCTTTACGAATTAACACACTCTAATTTTTGTTTTACATTTATTGCCTAAATAATATGCAATCAGATATATTGCCGACTAAGGAGCAACTACAAAGACTGCATGATGTTGCTGTTACTGTTGAAAATATAGATGGGATATATAGATCGGTTAAATTCCACATCACTGGGAGGCTTTTTTGAGTTGTCTCTCTTAGACCGTCCTAAGATAAAATACAGATGCGATGTATCCTTACAGACACGAGCGCGCGCGTTTGTTTACGTGTGTGTGTTTGTGTGTGTGCGTGTGTGTGTGTGTGTGTGTGTGTGTGTGTGTGTGTGTGAGAGAGAGAGAGAGTTTTAGGACAATTGGGAGAAAATAATTTTTTCTTTATCTAAAATGAGACGCTGTAGCTGAGTTAGAACGTCAGACTGCCAAGCGAAGCGCCTTTCTTAAAGATATATCGCCCGCATTGACTCCCTTATTCCTCTGCACTGTATATCTACTAATGTGATTAAAATTGCCTTTGAAATAAAGAAAAACACTTCCTTCAAAAATACATTATATCAGTATATGCCAACATTATAACCCAGTCTGTATAATCTATGCATGTAAAGAAATCAATAAATATGAATGTAGAGAAACGGTGATAGCTTATGTAAATACTTCTATACTTTATCTGGTCCATTTCAGATCAAATCTTTTATTCTAGATTGGCCATGGTCATTTTTGCCTGATAATCGTTGCTCGGTATCTTGTTGGATCCATAACCATATATTAGTTTTATACTCCATATAAGCTGAATATACATTTTCATCAGGATAATTTGATGTTTAACATCTATGAATGCTATACAAAGTACAGATTTGTTTATCTTTGAAATACGGTTACGAAACATTTATTGCGACTCCGCTCTTTCATGACAGTCCAAGAGAGACAAATCTAAAACCATGTGGTAGTCATGATAGATTTATGGCCCTCATTTACTTACATTAAGAACTCTATGGCCCACTATTGGCTAAGTAAACATCGCATCAAACAGCAGTAATGACATGTATTTAATGTGCGTAAGATCACACAAAAAAGGGAGAAGAAATATAACAAATGACTAAAGTAATCATATGAACTGCATAAAATTCGATAAGACAGACATAATTGTCAAAATAGTTTTAAACAAAATGTGAATGACAAGTACAGTACAAGTGATATCATGAACAAAATCCACGAGAGCGCAGAGTTTATGACTGGATATATAAAGTGCTTCAAAACATACATACATACATACATACATAAATACATACATACATACATACATACATACATACATACATACATACATACATACATACATACATACATACATACATACATACATACATACGTACGTACGTACGTACGTACGTACGTACGTACGTACGTACGTACATACGTACGTACGTACGTACGTGCGTGCGTGCGTGCGTGCGTGCGTGCGTGCGTACGTACGTACGTGCGTACATACATACATACTGCCATCGTCAGCGTCATGTTCATCTGCACCATCATTTTTGTCCAAGTTTTTGATTTTATTATAAATCGTTAAAATAAACAAACTCAAACACCACCTGATGATATGATGTGATTGATTCCGAACTTTTACTTCTACTATTTCAGCCTTAGCCCTCCAACTGCTGCTGCTACTACTACTACTACTACTACTACTATCATGTTGAATTACTGATGCTATTGAGGTGTGATTGTAATTTGAATTGTACCATCTTTCTGATATCTTGAGTATAGGTGTACATATTTTACCCTATGTGAATTGAAATCCCCTTCACCCCTACAAAAATGAAGAAAACGGACAACCAGCTTAAGGTTATATATTGTGTTTATAGGTTCTGATGGTCAAATAGTTTATCGTTTATGCTATTGCAGCATCTATGTAACTTAAACTAAGGACCAAATTTCTCAAATGTCCTGAATCTAATTGTATATGTGTATGCTTTTTAAAATCAAAAAAGAATTAGAAACATGAGATCCAAATATGCTGGACTTAGTGTCTTTGAACAGATTGTCAACGTTTTGTTCTGTGTTACTCTATTGATACGTTGTTATCTGTTACAGAGGACATGTTGACTGTGTTTTGAAATCAAATGCTTGACCTTTAAACTACCAATATTCTTCAATGAGTGCACTAATGTTAGGTAAACATCGAGTTTTAATATATATATATATATATATATATATATATATATATATATATATATATATATATATATATATATATATATATATATATATATATATATATATATATATATATATATATATAGTATATGTGTAAATGATATTATTGCTGTTTGTTTTATTAGCCTTTATTACTTTTGACTTAGTGAACCGGGGCCCAGAGTGGCAGAATGGTCTAAAGTGTAAAGTGCTGTCCGTTTCGGATCACTGCCATCTCACCTCTGTCTGCGTGGTATCGAGTCTAGGATTCCGCGAATGTTGATATGTGAGAAAGCTTCCCGGTTTCTTCCTCCACCATTAATACTGGCTGCTATGTATAGCCTATCGTGTGCTGAAAATTGCGTTAAGCCCAACAACAACAACAACTTAGTGAACCATGGTGATAGTGAAGGTAGGGATGCGTGATACTCTTTTAAGTTATATGGGATGTGATCCTAATGAATCATTTATGCTGGACATTCTGCTATTACCACGCTTGTTGCCACCGTTGCAGGAAATTAAAGGCTTTGTTACAATCGTAACAGAAATATATTCTCTTGTCGCAATTGCCACGATAGCAGATGCATTAAGACTAAACAACCATTATTGCTACTGATATGAGTTTTGTTGCCCCTTCCACCTTTCCTACCACTACTGTCACTACTATTAGAATGTTGCTGCTATAAGCACAACAGTTACTGTTCCTACTACGATGTTGCTGCTACAAACAACAACAGTTGCAATTCCTACTAAAATATTGATCCAAACATACCTATTGATATTCCTACTACGATGTTTCTCGTACAAGCACAACAATTGTTATTCATATTACTGTTTATCACATCGTTGGTATAGTTTTCTTACAGTGCGTGCAGTTTCATATTTTTGATGTGAGCATATCACTTTATGTGATTCTTATTGTCCAAATAAGCCCATGAAATTATTGTGCACGATCCTCTTTACTGATTGGCTGAGATTTTGGGAAAATGTTTTTAATCCCGCCTTCTGGAATGTTTTGTTTTGAATGAACATTTTTGGCTGTCATATTTTAGCTCGACTCGCGAAAGGAACAAGAGGAAAAATTATCTCTGCTGTCTGAATATGAAGGGTTTGTTATGCCATGTTTAATAATATCATCATAAAGGAAAATGACGCATAACTACAAGACAAGAACAACAATAAGGAGTAAAACTAAGGGACTAAATTTAATAAAAGTATATGCAAGCGTGGTTTAAATGTTAACTTAAAGAAGCAAATAAACTCACCATTATTTACAGAAGGGGCATCACTCTATCACGAGTGTTCTCATAATGGTAGCAATATTGGTTTGAATTATCTCTCTTCCTCTGTTGCATAACGTAATGAACTTGCCTTAATGGAATATTGAACTCTGGTTTAGCATATTAAATGAAAATCCCAAAACAAATTGCATTCATCACATGAAAAGTATTGCCCAA